GATGTACATACTTGTGCATTTCTGTAGGTAAGGTCCTGCTGCCTTCTCTCCCTTTGGCATAGACACTTTAATGATAAGTGTTTTATGCCAGGCCCAAGATTTCAAAAGCGGTTCAAATTCCAATGTCAATTTAGATGTGTAAAATACCTCACACAGTGAAAGGTACATAGAAAGTGAACAGTAGATGTTAGTTTCTTTCACTTGTGGTCTTTAGGCTGGCTAATTCTATATTTAACTTCAAATCTTCCTCAGGATTCTCAGAACCATACTTTCTTGCTATTAGAATACATTCCTGCTTTTTCTTAAACCATAAACTCCTAAGAGTATTTTCTCTATGACATTTATCATAATGATTTATTCATAGCTGGTGTTCTATAAATGTTTGTTTAAAATTTAGCATGCGTTTGTTAAGTGCCTATTATGTGCAGTGCATGGAGTTAAACACAGAAAACAAAGTAAAGGAAGTGGAAAGACATAGTCTAGCTATATGGTAGGAAAATTTTGCTCACTTTTGAAGAGATGAAGGTATATTTAATAAGATAGAATTTATAAAAATAAAAAGACATTGGCACCCTGAAATGTATAAAATGAATGTGGAAAGGAAAGGAAAAAAGAAAAAATAAGTTACCAAGACATCCGATAAAATCTTACTATGCAAAATAGATGAAGATTTGATAGAAATATGTATGGTCATAACATGATTCTGCTTGATAGATAGTTGGAGAGGAGAAGCAGTTCACACATGAAGGAGTGGTGATAGAAAACCTGTATGAAGAATATATAGTATTTCTAGCAATTAAAGAAACCTAGCTCAGACATCTCCAAAGTACGTTTATTCAGTAAAAAATTCACTCAAGAAACATCATGTGGTGCAAAAAAGCATGAGCACAAAAAGCATGTAGGGCAAAAGCAATAAAAACAAATCAGGTTCTAAACCCAGCTTTTTTACTTCCAGGCCAACTTTTTTTTTTTTTTTTTTTTTTAAATAATAGACTCTTTTATTTTTAGACTCTAAAGCCTCAACTTTTAGGTTGAGTAGAAGGTATAGAGATTTCCCTTATGTATCTGCCCCCGCATACTCACAGCCTCCTATACCATCAAAATCCCATGCCAGATTGATAATATTAGTTACAATTGATAAACCTATGTTGACCCATCATTATCACCCAAAGTCCATTAGGATTCACTCTTGGTGCTGTACATTCAGTGCATTTTGATAAATGTATAATGACATGTATCCACCATTATAGCATCATGCAGAGTAGTTTCACTCTCATAAAAATACACTCTGTGCCTACTCATTCCTCCCTCCCCCTAGCCCCTGGCAACCACTAATCTTTTTACTGTCTCCATAGTTGTGCCTTTTCCAGAATATCATATAGTTGGAATTATGTAGCCTTTTCAGATTAGCTTTTTCTCTCTCAGCAATATGCATTTAAGGTTCCTCATATCTTTTCATGGCTTGATAGCTCATTTCTTCTTAGATCTGAATAATATTCTTTTGTCTGGATATCCCACAGTTTATCTATTCACCTGTCGAAGGACATCTTGGTTATTTCAAAGTTTTAGCAAATAAAGCTCTTAAAAACATTGATCAAGCCAGCTTTTTGTTCCTTGCCTGGCATTTAACTTCTCTGAGACTCAGTTTCCTCATCTGTAAAATTGAACTGATATTTTCTAAAGATTCTGAGGTTTGAAATTCTGTCATTATCTACATAAAAGTCATGAAATCTTATGTGAATAACTGTGAACAACTCAAGTATGCCTGTATTGCTGGTGACATTAAAGGTTGATAAAGCCTTTCTGGTAGAACAGAGTTTGGTCCTATATAACATAAATTATAATCTACCTGCACTTACTCTTTGATCAGATCATTCTGTTTTGGGTGTTAGACTTCACATAACTCCAAATGGAGGTGAGAAAATAAGATTTTTTTAAACAAAGATTTTTATAGCAGGGTAATTTATAAAAGCCAAATAGACACAACTATGGGGACAATTCTAATGCCCAGTAATGGAGAAATACAAAGTAAATTATATCAGGGCAGGGACCATGACTATTCTGACCAATGTGTACCTAGCACTTTACTCACTGTAGTGTTCTAAATATTTGTTGTATTAAAAAGACTGAATAAGAGAATTTAAGAAAAATAGAAGAGTTTTTACTGAATACACAGAGATCATAGGGGATAGCATCCTATTCCTCTCTTTGTTGCTTTGCATCTCTCATTGCCACACTCAGCTGTGCCAGCTGTTACCTGCTGGAGTCTGTACTCTCCCCCTTTACTGATCCCAGTGCAGTGCTTAGACGTAGGCACTACACTGATATAGCAGCCATGACAGGTAAACTTCTCACTTGGGAAAGAAAATTAACATGGTTGTAAAGGAGCTAATGCAAGAGTGACCGTACGTTCCAGTTTTGCGGAGACAGTCTTGGCTCATGCCTGATGTCTCAGTGCAAATCTCACTAGCATCTCCTTTCATTCTCAAAGGTATCCCAGTTTGGACAGTAGGTCACCATTTAGCTGAGGGTCTGATTTTCTGTTTACTTAAGTGCTGTATGTGCTATAGTTGGGAAACATTTTCTTTTTATGTCAATTCAGTTTACTTAAACATTTCCTTAACACTCAGTAGATATAAGGAACATCTTAAATCTGCTGTGAAATACAAAGAAAAATAAGACAAGGCCACTGCCACTGAAGAATTTCATATTAAGTAATGCTTTTTCAAACTCTCTAGCTTACCTTAATGGTAACTCATAGCCTCATGGGAGCTAGAAGTGCTCCTAGACCCAAGCTTCTGCCCTGACCCCATTCACTTAGAGGACGTCTATCTGGCTCGTCTCTGACTACAAGTCCCCCTCTCCTGTGGTACTCAATGAAATGTTTGCCTACAAGAACCTGTGCCCCTACCACACCCAACTCAGGGTATCTGGGATAATGGAATTCCTTGCCCAAACATGTTTGAGCTTGCTTTCAGGGCCCATGTGGACCTCTTCCTTGGACACATGCACACAAGGCCCTTTACAGTGCCAGATAAGCTAGGACTGGGAGAGGGGCAGGCTAGTGTCAACAGCTACACAGTAAGCTCCCTGCAGTCTTACGTGTTCTGAAATTCAAGAATTCTAATTTTGTACCTGGACTTCCAGGTAATTTTGAATGTGTATTTCTCAAAGTAGAAGAATAGAACAGATTTTATGTAGTAATGTATTAGCTTGACTTACTGCTTTTAGGTGTTTAGAGACATGGTATCTGGGCCTTCATTTTCATTCTTGCCATGGACCCCACAAATATTAGAGGCAGGCTGTTTAGAGTAAAACTTAAAATCCTTAGCATGACCTTAGCGTGAGGTCCTACATAATCTGCTGCTGCCCTCCACCCTGCTCCACTTAGCTGTACCTGTTTCTTCACTGTTCCAAAACACCCCAGGCACACTCCCATCTCCATTGCACTTGCAGCTCTCTCTTGGAATGGTTTTTCCCTAGGTTGCCACATGGTCTCTTTCCTCGTGACCTTCAGGTCTGTCCCCCTCTTAACCCCCCAAATCATTATCTTATCAGTGAGGCCTTGCCTGGATAGTCTTTCTAAGATTTTACCTGTCCCCCAAACATTGTCTCCTTTACTGCCTTATTAAGTTCCCTTAAGACACATCAGTATCAGAAAGCCAGAAGTAGTAAAAAACTAAATTAGCTTTTTCTCCTAAATGTCTTTCTTTTAAAACTCCTTAAATACTGAGGCCATATTTCCTTAAAAATTATTTTAGTTCTTATATCTTAAAATTATCCATATACCCACTTTGAAGAGTTAAATAGTTCTAAGGCTAGTTACTTAAATCAGCAGCCAGTCCTCCGACCCTGCCATTCGTTTCAGGGATAACTATTTCCAGTTCTATTGGATGATTTGTTTAGTATTTCCCATTGTGTCTAAATAACATGCTTATGTTGCTACGTTCTAACTTCAATTTTGGGCCTTACTTATTTTCCACTGTACAGGATGAGACGTAAGCCCTCTCTTTCCAGTGTCACACCCTGTGCATGCACACACCCATGCAGCTCTCCCCTTCTCGGTATGATGAAATCGTACTTTTTGGTTTCATCAAGATTTGGTATTTTCAACTGTAAGCACTAGTCCTAGCTGAGCCCCATAGTACACCGTGATTACTTTTCCTTCCTTTGCAATGTTTTATTCTCATGCTGCTACTAAAACATACCTGAGACTGGAGAATTTATAAAGGAAAGAGGTTTAATTGATTCACAGTTCCACATGGCCGGGGGTTGGCGGGGGTGCTCACAATCACGGTGGAAGGCAAATGAGGAGAAGAGTCATGTCTTACATGGCAGCAGGCAAGAAGGCATGTGCAGGAGAACTGCCCTTTATAAAACCATCAGATCTTGTGAGACTTAATCACTATCATGAAAACAGCATGGGAAAGACCTGCCCCCATGATTCAGTTATCTCCCATGACGTGGGAATTATGGGAACTGCAAGTCAAGATGAGATTTGGGTGGAGACGTATCCAAACTGTATCACTAGGTTTTTATCATCAATTTTACCCAAGACTATATCAGTTATATATATCTTTTTTCAGTATATTCAGTCATCTATATTCTGCAGTTTTCTTTTTCTTGGAAAAAACCTCTCATAGAGTCTTTTAAAATCTGAATGATTGTTCTCAGGTCAGCTAGAGTTTAACTGAAACCACAGAGATATCTCTAAGGTTTGTTTACTCTCAAAACAGCATTTGGGCAGTGGTTACAGATTATTAATACTATTGTTGTTGTTGTTTTTAAAATAATACTATTTGACCAAATCATGAAAACAACTGTTCACTGTGGATTTATCAGTGGTTCCCTTTTATGTGTCATAATCAAGATACCTTTTATTTAAAAAATACACAATGCATTCTTTATTTGTTTTACATGGAACATATTACAGATTACTGAAACAATCTGAATATATTGATGTATATATAGTTTTTTTTTATCTTATTATGTCTTTATAGGCTCTCAAAATTAGAGAGATGTGTAATTGCCCACCACTGTCTAAACCAGACCCTCGATTACTATTCAAACTCAGCATGGAGCATTTTCTTGAAGAATCAGAGAAAGAAGACCTAAATATCACAAAGAAACAGAAAATGGATACTCGTCCCGTTCAAAAACAAGAGCAAATACCATTAACATACGTAGTTGAGAAAAGAACTGGCAGTTGAATTAAAATTTATGAGACACAAGATATATGAAGAATGTTGCAATCCTTATCATTTTATGTTACTTTTTAAAAAATGATGTTTGAAGTGAAGAAAAAAAAAGGATATTCAGGGTCAAATCATGTATATTACAGATATTATCTAAATTCTTCTAGAATTTATTTTTCATGAAATATTGATATATTTTAATCTATGTTAAAATATCTTGAATGAGGAAAATGTCACAGAATAAATTTATATTATACATTTTACTCTGTCTTCTACTTGCTTTTGATTTAGAAGGCAGACCCCTAGTGGATGAGAAATGAGCACATACTGTAGTTTTTATTGTAGAGAAGATTTCAGCTGAGCCTAAACTGGATTTTTAAGTCTGGGTGGTTTTGATGAAGTAGGAAACAGTCTGAAGCTATCTTTTTGCAGGAAATAGTTTGCACTGGGGTGGGATTATGTGGAAAAGGGCGCCTCAGGATAGAGAATGTCCTTGTCTTCACCTGTGGATGACTGGAGAAAATGCTACTGGCAGAAGCCATTTTCTTTTTTTTCTTTTTTTTTTTTTTT